GATTTTAAATACATAGATTAATAAATGATCTTTATACTCACTAACTAAATTATGATAAAATAAAAAGATTATTTAATGAGTAAATATTTATGAACATGAATTGCAGATTTTAAATACATAGATTAATAAAATAATCTTTATACTCACGGACTAGAATATAAAATATTAGTAATGGATAGGTAGTATGAACTTGAATTCTGATTTGTACTTGATATAATGCTTACTCTCTACGTTAAATAATCAAATAGTTTCGAGAAATATTTAGTTATTATTTTAAAATTAGGAATTTAATTCTAACAAATAACTTACTTTTTAATCCATTCTTTGTATTTATTCAAACTATATTTCACGCAAATTCCATATTTGTAACAAATAGCAGTTTTAAAAATTCCATTGGAATTACCTGTCTCAGCTGATTTTAGATAATATTTAAATGCTTTATGCTTGTCTATTTCAACCCCAATTCCTAAATAGTAACAATAGCCAAGTTGATACATTCCGTTAGAATTATTCATATCTGCAGATTTTTTATAATATATGAATGCCTGATTTTCATCTTTTTCAACGTCAATTCCATATTCGTAACAATAACCAAGCCAGAACGTTCCGTCCGAACTACCAATCTCATCTTGCTTTTGGCAATCAATAAAATTCAATTTATTAAGAATGCTAGTCATTTTAGTAATTTCATATGGTTAACTAATATTATTTTGTTTCATTTAGTAAATGAAAAAAAAAGATGTAATGGATGTTTTCATCATGTATTATATTTATATAAATAGTCAATAAATATAAGAAAATAGTTTTATTGTCATACATTTAGTTGATGTTAACCCATAATAGTTACTTTTGATATACGTAGCATTGATCTGCTGCTAAAAGTTAATTATAAGTAGTAAAAAAAGTCTGCGCATTTATAGATCAAAATTGTGAAACAAATATTCCTAAATAAAAGCATGATCGTCAGTAATACATATGAGTGCCGGCAAGGAAAAACCTCGAACCGGTATATGCGTTTTCCCTTGCCGGTACTCATAGAATGTGATCTGTACGAACGTAATTGCTTATGTATCGCTTGTAGTTTACAAGCTCTTATTAAGTTGGTATATAAGTTCTCTTAATATTCACAGCATTCCAATTGTACATATTCGCCATAAGGATTCACACACATGATTCTTTATTGATAAAATACAAATTATAACTTAAATTTAAAATACTGTTCATAACGTATGATAGTTGTTAAAACGTTCTTTTATTATGTAATGAATGCATTAATTATACATATTAAAATTTTTTTTTTAACTACGGTAATAATGTAATTATGATAATGAAAATATAGAAAGAATATGAAAAGATTATTATTGAGAATTTACAGCAAAAATCTCAATTTCTTCAGTAGTAAATTCAGATTCTAAAAGTCTATATTGATAATAATTTTTATAACAAGAACCAGCTAAACCATTACAAATTAGATCACTATTACCAAAATTTACGGCATGATGAGTAGAAGCGTAATGAGCTTGATTAGGAGTACTAACTCTACTCAAATGCATAGTATCAATATTTTTCATATCATCAGAATAAAATAAAAAACTATCAAGACTATACTTCCATTCCATTTGAGTTAAAAATCCAGATTGAAAACCTTGAGTATTACTCATACTTCTTCGATAACCTAAAGAATTATAACCACCAACAACCTTATTAGAACCTCTAATTTTTATAACTACAATATAAGCACCAAAATTTTGACATTTAGTAATGATAGCAACATTACTAAAACCATCACGAGTACCACGATAAATTAAATTAAATTGATAAGCGTTCTTTTTAGAAAAAATTAAAGGAGAATCTTTTCTTTCTATCCAATTAGAAATTACAGCAGCATGCTTTGGTTTTAATATAACAGAATCAATTCTAGAGTAAGCAATTCTTGCAGGTAAATCAGCATTCTTTGGTCTTTTACCTTTAAAATGAAATTCCATAATTTCTTCATATAAATCATGATCTAAAATTAATTTATAAGGTCTAACTTTATCATAAAAATCAGCAGGAGAAATTTCAGTAAATCTAATATAAGGCATGAATTGATCTAAAGTTTCTTTTAAAGAATTAAAATATAAAGAATTCCAATTTGAAATATTAATATTATTTTGATCTAAACCAGGAGTTCTTGCAATTCCCCATTGAATTAAATAATCCCACATTTCAGTTTCATCAATTCTTAAATCTTCACGTTTTACTAAACCAAAAAGGATTTCTTTATCTAATTCATTAAAATTATTTGAAACGAAAAATGGTTGAGGATCTTCACAAATAGATTCTAAACAAAAATCTTGTAATTTTTTACAATTACTTAATCTAAATACTGTATGTAAAACTTGAACAAAATTTTGTTGAACCCATGAACATTGATCTGTTACAAAATAATCTTGTACGTAAATAACTAATTCATCGAGAAGTAATTCATCAGCTGCAACCATTAGACTTAATGTATCTCCACCAGATTGTTCATCCAATGAGACAACACCTTGTATTAATTGAATGAGTTATGTATATAAAACTTAAACAAGTTAAATAAAACTATATATATATATATTAAAATAATGAATACCTGTATATATAAACCTATTTTAAGCATAGAAATATAAAGAAACGATTTATAAGTATATAATTAATAATAACGATAATAAAAAAAAAAATTATTTTTTTAATATAACTTACTTTATTATTATTTCAAATACGGAAGGAGATATATTAGGTTTAGAAAAAACGATGAAACCATCTTTTTTCGTAACCCAATTAGTAGACAATGCGCTTTTAAAATAAGGACATCGAGCACATAAAATGTTTGAATGTGCTTTAAATTCTTTAGAATTTTGATTTTCACCAACTTGAATTTTTACATCATAATTATTTGATTGTTCAAGTAATTGAGATAAATCTCGTATAAGAGTTGTTATAAATGGAGATTGAGATGTCATATTTTTTTTTTTACATAAAAAAAAAAAATGGTAAGTTTTTTTTTTTTTGAAATGTGAAAGGAGGATCAATTAGATGTTTATTTATATTATTTTAATTTACATGGTTTATATGGCGTGAAACCACATGATCTACCGCATAAGTTACGTATGTACAATACATGCAGATACTTACGTACAGTACAATGTTTTTAATCTATCAAATATGTAATATTTCATTTGGTGATCCTGCAAAAGTTTCTAATTTCCCGTACTTTAAAAGATTACAAACAAAAAAAAAATTCATAAATTTGTACTAAAAAAAAAAAAAAATAAGCAAGGGGTTTCATGCAATTATGATGAAAGTCAATTTATTTATAATTATCGATTTTTCGGTATAACGATAATGGAAAAAAACAATGATTTACATACAGAATCGTTTTTTATAACAATAAAATCAAATACAGTAAGTTTATATTTCATACAATTTATATTTTGTATGTTTTGTATGTTTCGGACTGAATCTTGCTTGCTTTAACAGGCTAAAAATAGTAATTGCGCTAAGAATTAATATAGTTATGTACTAATAAAATTACTAACTAAATTCTGGTCCTTTCTTGTAGGGATGAACGTTTCGAATATTAAAAATGGTTTAGTTCAGTTAATTTTAAAATATTATGATCTACCATTTTTTTAATTTATGTATCTTTTTTGACTTTATGAAGATTGACTGCATTAGTATTATCGTATTCTCAAAAAATACCAGACTTGGTAATTTAAATTTATAAATAACGGACTTAGTACTTTAAAAAAAATCTTATAATACATTAAGATTAGCGAAACTCAATTTGCAGATCATTTTAAGGGGTTAAAGTCAGGTTCGTTTACATATGATCTACATGTTGCATAAGTTCCAATTCTTGATATCTATTTATAAATAAAACTAACTGCATAAAAAAACCAGCCGTTACGCAATACATTAACTTATCAAATATAAATATTAGAAATTCCCAATTACTACGTATTACAAAGCAATTTTATTATCCCGAGATTCTAGATTGTTTATATACAAAATCACCATTATCACATGACAGCAGAGGTCACATCTTTGCAAAGCGCTATAATTGCATTAATTGCAATTATTTCGTCATCAATTGGTTCGGTACCCTTGCGCGAACTACAGTAGTTATCGGAATTGTAGGTCTAAACATCTCATATTTTGAAAATTAGGTGCGTCCACAATTTTGTATATGTGTATTATTGGATTTTTTGAAGGTTAACATTATTTAATTTCCCGATAAAATTTCATTAAATATTAACAATAAAATGAGTACTGTACAATATTTGAAAAAAAAATGTAAATCAGCATGAACGTTAAATATACAATCAATTACTATAGTTTATGAGGCATCCGAATAAATCTAATTCACAGAATGATTTATGTTAAGAAATTAATTCGCGAATTTTGTTGGTTCTTTCCATTAGGCTTATTAATAAATAACCTTACTTCTCTTCGAACAACAAGCAATTGTGTTAAAAGAACCATGGTAAATAAATGCATTCTTCAATTTTAATTAAATAAAAAACGACTCTTTACACTTAATTCTAACCATTTATATTTAGTGTATGTAGTGTAAACGGTATTTACTCATAATCGAATTACTTGGATTTCTAATAAACAAATTAAAGTTTACGTCAAATTAAATCAATTTGTAACGTAACTTTTAGTACATACAGTAATAAATCATTTATAGTATAAATTTTGTGTAATCCATACTAAATAGCAAAATTTAGATATCGATTTTTGTTGCAACATTTTTTTATGTAGGGAAATGGCTATCCTAATGTTGTAATGTTACTATATTGTTATTTTATTTGTTTAGAAAAGATCTGAAATGCTACTTCATTTGTTACAGTGACCAAAAGAAAAAACTTTTCCTTCAGTAGTATTGCAATTTGCATTTTAACCTCATATCCCTTACTATATGGTTTGTTTTTTTCTTTAGATCTTTCTTTGTAATTAAAAATAAATGGCATTATAAATAATAATTGTTTTATAACATTACATAATTAAAAAAAATAAACATATTTTATAGTATAATACTAATTATGGATACAAATGGCATCAATTTGCTTGATATCAATGAATATTTCGATAAGGTTTATGCATTTATAGATTATGAGAATACAATACCTCAACAACATTTTAAATTTATACAAAGTTGGATTCATAATGATAATTCAATTAACAAATTAAAGAAAACTCATTTAATAAATTCTTTAGATGACCGTAAAGAAAAATAGAATGTCTCTCAACAGGAAGGTGTAGAATATATATATAATAATTATCAAGCTTCTATTAATGCTATAAAATTCTGTCTCAGAAATATTTAAAGAAATGCTTTGATATGTGGACTTCAGGAAATATTGATTTAGATAAAATAATTCAAGATGCTAAATTAAATGCAACTTCACATGATTTAATTTTTGAATGAATTCCTTATGAAAATTTTAAGATGGTTAAATACAAAACTAGAGGTGATTTTTCTTCGGCAAGGTAGAATGATGGTCCATACATTAAATGGAATTCTGAAAAAAAGGTTCTTGAGAGGTTTGGTGAACAAGAAGTTATTCTTAAAAAATTTAATCAGTATAATAAAATGAGCAAAAGATGGTTAGAAGAAGTACGTTTAAATTTATTTGTTTATTTATATATTGTTTTGACTAATTATTAAAATGTGCATATATTATAGGCTATGTCCCATTTTCATCTTAATAAGTTTGTTAAATGTCTTGTAAACTGTTATGTATTAACCAAATATTCAAAAACCCAAGAATTTATTCTAGTTTTGGACTGTTTGACATGTGACCTGAGCCAATTTTTAAAGGATAATACGTAGTTCAACAATTACAGTACATGGATTAGAAAAATCAATATTACTATAGATATAGTATCAATAGTAGAGCGACTTCATGAATCTGATTTAGTTCATTGTAATTTACACCTGCAACATAAATAAATGGGTCGATTTTTTTATTAGTTATACTGGCTTTTGTAGTCCTATTAATAAACTTTCTGATAAAATTTATGGAAAACTTCCATTTATCATTGTGGCGCGTTTGCGAAATACCCCCAAAATTTAAAAAATTTGACTACTGATAGTGAGTCAATTAAAATTGACCTAGATATATGTAATTTAATTGATAACGATAATACTTTAAATTATTTAATTGGTCAAATAAATTGACGTACTTGATGTATAAAACATTTTTTCTTTAGAAATTGAAAATGGGTTGTGATAGTGGGAAAATGGGTTAGACATATGATTTTTATAGATCGGAGGGCCAAAAATATTTTTTCTAAGGTTTAACTTGAGTTAATTTGTGCCTAGTCAATCAGATTTGGTAACCAAATATCAAGATCTGGTGACCAAATAGTAGCAAACGCGCATTATGTAGTAAAACCATATGTGAGCCGCAGATCATAACATGGGACCCCAGTCGGGGCCCCTGGAAAATTTCGAAAAGATTATAAAACAATAAATCGCAATTTTTATTGGATATCACGTTTTAAAACAATTTTACGTCTTTTATATGCATATGAAGTTACACGATAAATTTGATTAGTTAATAAGTAGCTGCGCAACGTTGTCGCGCGAAACCAGGAACGGGAAAGTAGCACATTACAATGCTAAATACTAATGATACCAACAATTGGTAAGTCTGTTATACAGCAGAGACAGTACCTAATCCAAAGTGAATCCTTCTCTATTTAAATTAAGTATTTATAAATAAGTATTTCATGATTTTAATTCTACTGATTAGCGTTAACAAATCATCTTTATACTCACGGGTAAATTAATGTAAACGGAAGAAATGATTTGAAGGGTATTAGGTAATTAATTGTATTTAAGTATTTAGTGACAAATATTTATGAATAAGTATTTATATTCATATTTAATTCCACTGATCAACGTTAATAAATTATCTCTATACTTACAGGCTAAATTAATACGAATGAAGAAATGATTTGAAGAATATTAGGTAATTAATTGTAAATAAATATTTAGTAATAAGTATTTATGAATAAGTATTTATATTCGTGATTTTAATAAAACTGATTTATGTTAATAAATCATCTTTATACTCACAGACTATTTGAAGGGTATTAGGTAATGAATTGTAACGAAGTATTTAGAGATAAATATTTATGAATAAATATTTGTGTACATAATTTTAATAATCATCTTTATGCTTATAGACTATTTAAAAGGTGTTAGGTAATTAATCATAAAGAAGTATTTAGAGATAAGTATTTATGAAATAAGTATTTACATTCATAATTTTAATGAAACCGATTAAATCATTTTATACTTATCTACTATTTAAAGAGTATTAGGTAACTAATTGTAAATAAGTATTTAGAAATAAGTGTTTATGTTCATAATTTTAATTATACTGATTAACTATTTTAATAGTCGCATACTACTTGAAGAGTATTAAGTAATTAATTGTAAATAAGTATTTAGAGATAAATAGATATGAATAAGTATTTATATTTATGATTTTAATGAAAATAATTAACGTTAATAACTCATCTTTATACTCACTAACTGAAATGATCTGAAGGGTATTAGGTAATTAATTAATTGTAAATTAGTATTTAAAGCTAAGTATTTAGTGATAAATATATATGTTCATAATTTTAATAAAACTAATTAATATTAATAAATCATCTTTATACTCTCTGACTAAATTAATGTGAATGAAATGATTTGAAGGATATTAGGTAATTAACTGATTGCAAATAAGTATTTAGTGATAAATATATGGAGTGTCGTCAACTAAAAGGACCTATTTTTACATTTTTTAAAAAAAATGAGTTTTATTAGATTTATATATATTTTGACATGATTAACTTTTTTTTAATTATAAATGAAAGTCGATTTGCATAATAAAAAATAGAGATAATTAAAAGAAAAATTATACAAGGCCAAGCAAATCATGAGATTACTCGATAGTCGCCTGTTACTTTTAACTAATCAAAATCATGAAATTTGGTTAATTCAGATCAGTCTGAAAATCAAAACAAGTGATTAAACTCAATTATCTTATAATAAAAATATATATAAAAATGGGCTTTTTTAGTTGACGATACTTCATATATATTCATGATTTTAATTCTACCGATTAATATTAATAAAACATTTTTATACTCATGAACTAAATTAATTTGAATGAAATAATTTGAAGGGTATTAGGTAATTAATTAATTGTAAATAAGTATTTAGAGGTAAGTATTTTTGAATGAATATTTATGTTTATGATTTTAACAAAACTGATTAATGCTAATAAATTATCTTTATACTTACCCACTTGAAGGTATTAGGTAATCAATTGTAAATAGTATCTAGAGATAAGTATTTATGTTCATGATTTTAATTCCACTGATTAATATTAATAAATCATCTTTATACTCACTGACTAAATTAATTCAAATGAAATGATTTGAAGAGTATTAGATAATTAATTAATCATAAATAAGTATTTAGAGTTAAGTATTTATGAATAAGTATTTATGTTCATGATTTTAATGAAACTGATTAATGTTAATAAACTATCTTTATACTCATAAACTAAATTAATTTGAATGAAATGAATTGAAGGGTATTAGGTAATTAATTCAACATAAATAAGTATTTAGAATTAAATATTTATGAATAAGTATTCATATTCATGATTTTAATTTCACTGATTAATGTTAATAAATCATCTTTATACTCACCCACTATTTGAAGGTAATCAATTGTAAATAAGTATTTATGAATAAGTATTTATGTTCATGATTTTAATTTCACTAATTAACATCAACAAATCATCTTTATACTCACTCACTATATTGTCACAGTTTAAAAAAAATCTATGATACAAATAGATCAAATAATAGATAACTTAGAGTAGCTTGGAAGAGCAGAACTGCTCTTAGTTGATGAGCTAGGTGAGTAGCGCTAGAACAGAACTGCTTGATGTTTATTTTATATCATGGATAATTATGAAATTTAGATAATTATGAAATCTAAAAAATCTATTAGCTAATGTTTGCAGATCACCTTAACTCTAACCAATCAGATTTCATAATCAGCTATGATATTTTATTATCTTATTATTTTATTTTTTTATTTTTTTATTATTTTTTTTTTTTCGTCTCTTTAAGGTTTCTTTTTATTGTTATTGCGTAGTAAACAGAACTATATTTTATTTAGTTATTTAATTTTCTTTTTATTATTTATATATATATATATTTTTATTTATGAATAGAGCAGAACTATAAGAGCGAAGTGAAAAACTTCGAACAGAACTGTATTAAATAGCTTTAATGAGTATACCAAATAGTATTATCTATAAATACAAGAGATAGAATTATAATAGATAATGATTTATTTAGAAAGATAAAGTCAAGTAGAGAGTTTGATTTGATTTTAAAGAATTTGACTATCCTATTATTATAAATCGTGATGCTCTAAATTAAATTCATCAATATTACTTAATAATGATTAGATTTCTTAAATTGATAAATTACCTGATCTCGCGTACATAAACCCTACTATAAATCTATCATGTTAAGCTCTCCTTTTTATTTATAAATTCTTGATATAGACTGTACATCCTAAATTCCGTTTACTATTAAAGCTAAATTAGGTCTAGATTTATTGCTCTCCCAATAATAGTAACAATATGAAAGGTATTAGGTAATTAATTGTAAATAAGTATTTAGAACTAAGTATTTATATTTATGATTCTAATTACACTGATTAATATTAATAAATCATCTTTATACTCACCAACTAAATTAATGTAAATGAAATGATTTGAAAAGTATTAGTAGTGATGTGCTATTTATATGATACCCAAATTTTTTTCACATACAGTACGTACAGTACTTACAGAACGTATAGTACGTATAGTTGTTTCTAGCAATCTGATTAGTTGGGAGAATTCAGCTGAAGTAATCGGCAAGAATTTTTGCGTACAGTACGTACAGTACATATAATACTGTATGCAGCACATCACTAGATATTAGGTAATTAATTAATTGTAAATAAGTATTTAGAATTAAGTATTTATGAATAAGTATTTATGTTTATGATTTCAACTAAACTGATTAATGTTAATTAATAAATCATCTTTATACTCACTTTCTGAATAAAGAGTATTAATTAATCATAAATAAGTATTTAGCAGTT